TCTTGCCTGCCTCTATGAATCCTTCTGGCTGCCTCATATAGATTTCTTCCTCCAAATCACCATGAAGGAAAGCTGTATTCACATCTACTTGCTCAAGATGTAAATTCTCTGCAGCTACAATTTTCAACACCAGTCTAATTGTAGATAGCTTCACGACTGGAGAGAATTTCATTGTAGTCAATACCTTCTTTTTGCTGAAAGTGTTTTCTCCCATCGTACTATTCGTGATCCTGTAAACACTTGTTAGGAGTGCTTTCTTGCCTGGTAGTAATTCATCTAATTCCCACGTTTGATTTGACATAAGCAAGTCCATCTCATCTTTCATGGAAGACTCCCACTTGACTGAATCCTCCACTTGCATTGCTTCATCATAGCACTCTGGTTCACCATTGTCATTCAACAACAAGTAGTGCAAAGAAGGCGAATAACAGTGGGTTAGTTTTAGGAATTCTGGGGGAACGTCTCAGTTTTGGTGTGCATGGTTCTTTGAACTGCTTCAGGACTTATTTGAACATCATTTCCAAAATCTCCTCGAACTCAGTAAATTCATTTGTTTCAGCTTCGGTATTGGAGCTATTTGATTCTATGGTTACCCTGTCTTTGTACACCACATTCTCATTGAAAATAACATCTCTGCTTCTGATGATCTTCCGATTTTCATAGTCCCAAAATCGGTAACTGAACTCATCACCACCATACCAACAAAGACATATTGTTGGACTTGGCATCAAGTTTACTTCTTTCAGCAGAATCTATGTGTACATAAGAAATACAACCAAACATTCTTAAGTGTGAAAGATTTATTTCTTTCTTGCTCCAAACTTCCTCTGGTATTCTATCATCCAAAGGAACTGAGGGTCCATAGTTGATCAGGTAAGCTGCAGTGTTGATAGCTTCAGCCCATAGAAATTTGGTAATTCGGTTGTATCCTCATGCTTCTGGCACGTTCATTCAGAGTTCTATTCATGCGCTTTGTTATGCCATTCTGCTGATGTGTCATAGGAACTGTTGTCTCCATCTTGATCCCATTGTTTGCACAGAAATCTCTGAATCTACGATTTCTGTACTCTCCCTCCATTGTCAGAACTCAATCGCTTAACTTTCAGACCAGTCTCATTTTCCACCATGACCTTCCATTTTCTGAAGGTATCAAAGACTTCTGATTTCTTCTTCAGAAAATAAACCCACACCTTTCTTGTAGAATCAGCGATGAAGGTGACATAATATAATGAGCCTGCAAAAGATGGAACTAGAGATGGTCCCCATACATCAATATGAACCAACTCTAACTTTTTAGCCTTGGGTGTCTTACCAATCTTTGCAAAGCTGACTTTCTTTTGTTTGCCAAATATGCAATCCTCGCATAGTCCGACATCTACATTCTTTAGATCCGGCAGCTTCCCTTTTGACAAAAGTGTCTTCATCCCTTTCTCACTTATATGACCAAGCCTTTGGTGTCATAGGTTTGATTTTCCATAAGCATCTGTTGCAGCAATGATATTCTCTAAGTTTGAGGTTACATAGAGAGTATCAGTCTTCTTACCACGAGCAATGACGAGTGCTTCTTTTGTAATCTTCCATTCACAGCCTGAAAAGGTTGTACTATAACCTTCTCCATCAAGTTGTCCTACAGAAATTAGATTTCTTTTGAGGCCAAGAATATGTCTCACTCGTTTCAGCGTCCAGGTGGTTTGGCATCTTTAGTCGGATGTCTTTTTTTCCGACGATATTCAAGGTTTCATCATCAGCTAGATGAACCTTCCCAAAATCACCACTGACATAGTTCTCCATGATTTCTCGGCATGGGGTAGAGTGTAAAGATGCCTCTAAATCCAAGATCTATGATTTAATCAGACTGTTGACGCTTAGAATCATGACATCACCTGTCCTCTGTCACGTTGGCAGATTCCTATGCGCCGGTATTTTTCTTTGGTGCTCGACAATCTTTTTTAAAGTAACCCTTTGCCGGAGTTATAACAGGTAAAATCTTTCTTTCTCGTTCTTGATTTTCGCCTTCTGGATTTGGATCTGCCATGATTTGAATTTCTTTCTGAAGTTCTCCCTCTGGACTCCGTGTGCAAGGCTGAGGAGGTTGATGCTTCACCTGATTCTCTCCGTCGAATTTCTCGCTTAGTACCAGATCTCGAACATCGTCGAATTTCAATTTGTTGTTTCCCAACAAGCTGCTAACTGCTATAACAGTAGTATTCCAACTATCTGGTAGAGATGATAAGAGTATTAAAGCTCGAACTTCATCATCAAATTCAATTTCCACGGAACTCAACTGGGTTGTGATTGTGTTGAGCTCATTTAGGTGTTGAGCCACTGATGCCCCTTCCGCCATCCGCAAATTGAATAATCGCCTCATCAAATGAACTTTGTTTGAGGCCGATGGCTTCTCATACATACTGGAGAGAGCCGCCATAAGACTCGTCATGGTCTTTTCCTTTGTTATGTTGAAAGCAACATTTCGGGACAACGTTAATCGGATAACTCCGAAGGCTTATCTGTCGAGAAGAGCCCAGTATTCATTATTCATGCCCTCTGGTTGTTTTCCTGAGAAATGTTGATATAGATTTTTCTGGTACAGAAAATCTTCAATCTGCATATTCCAAAAGCCAAAGTTCGTACCATCAAATTTTTAATTTTCATATTCCCTTCGTTTGCAGCCATCGCTCCCACTTGAATTTGGCTTCTTCGGATCGTTTCTGACAATTTGTGTGAACCACCGTGTATTATAACACCTCCGTCGACAAACTCGTATCGCCGACAAAATTTTTACTATTCACGAAATTTATTATTTATGTGAATATTAATGAATAGTAATATCGCAAAAATTGACAAAATTCACAACCAAAAGCTCTGATTACCAGTTGTTGGGAAATAAAACGAGTAACAAGTAATTTCCCTATAACCAGATTAGTGAGAATGCGAAATAAAAGCGGAAAAAATAATACCCGAAATTGATAACGGAGTTCAGCCAATTTGCTTACGTCTCCGGACTACTGCAGATCTTTTAGTAAGAGAGAAAATTTATAGGGTTTACAAAACACTCATTACTCACAAGAAAGCTCTCTAGTATTGGGAGAAAGAAATGATTTTTGGATGGTTTTAAAGCTAAATGAGCTAGGGTATTTATAGTTGAAGTTTAGGGACTAATATTTGAAAATACCCTAAAGTCCTGACTAAAATGTAATTAATCCTATTTCTATTTTCAACAAAACAACACCTAACATTGAAATCAAAGCAGCCCCATTTGCTTTTTTTTTCCAGCCGCCCATGTTTTATATTCACACGAAGTTCAGTCAATGATCCCAACCATGATGGGATTTCTTCACCGAAGCTGTTGTTACCGAAGTTTAAATGTTTCAACTGATGCAAATTGGATAATTGGACAGGTAGTCTGCCATGAAAACTATTGTTTACGATGGAACGAAGAGATAAATTTCCTAACTGAGGTGGAAGGGTGCCTAAGATCCTATTATAATATCGGAACGATGATTATCGGCAAATAAATAATCACGATCGAAAAGGAAAAACAAAGAAAACTAGGATTTATGTGGAAAACCCAAAAGGGAAAAATCACGGGCAGAGGAGAAGAATTTTACTAATATGAAGAAAGAAAAACAAGAGAAATTTGGTGAAAGAAAAAAACTTGATTTTTAACCATGACCCCTTAGTTTATTTATAGGGATAAATACTTGGTTTTCTAATTTTAATCAAACTAGATTTCCTATTTTTCCAATATTTATATATTAATTAATTTGTGTCATTTTGAATTCGAGCCAAACTCTACAAATCTCCACCTTGACACAAATTCTGAAAGTGCAAAGGTTTCCAGACAAAACACCCAAATTCGATGTGACACCCAAACTCAACAAAAATAATTATTCACTTTACGAACAAGTTCTCCACCTCTTCCGCAACACCCTTCAAAGGGGTAATCTCCAGTAATGAACACCGACCGAATCCACGCTTTTTCTAGGATTGGATTTAGTCTTCACATCGACGTGATTATCATAAGTGCCAACTTGCTCACAAACGTTTCACCACGAGCAATATCATGCAGAACACGAACCTTACGCTTTTCCTCATTCGTTCATTGTGTTACCAGCTTCTCATCAGTCCTTCTATTGCATCATCGAGATCTAACTATACAAACATCCCGAATCTTCACCTGCCATAGCAAAAACTTGTTGTTTCGATCCAACAGCGGAATATCATACTTTATCCTATCAGTTTTAGTCCGTTTAGGACCTAAACTTTTAAGTTTTTTCAAAATCATACAAAGTTTAGTTTTTGTTTCATTTAGTATCCTGCCATTAAAAAAATTAGTTTTTGTTTTATTTTAGTACCCGTTGAAAATTTAACGTTAAGTTTTAATTTTTTTTTAAAAGTTTAGGTATTAAAACGGACAAAATGACAGTTTAGGTACTAAACGCATTAAGTTTTTAACGACAGATACAAAAATAAATGAAAACTAAATGTTATGTGTGATTTTGAAAAAATTAAAAGTTTAGGTACTAAAATTTAAAATAGACCAAAACTGATAATTTAAGTACTAAATGCATAGTTTACCCTATTTTCTATGCCACAACAAGTCCAAGTGCCGACTGAAACCAACGCTTGCTTTACCATCCCATCGATCATGCATTCTAGGTAAACAACAAATTTGGTTACCCATCTATTCTTATAGTTCTATTTTGGTCATTTAACTATTTTTTTAAATCATACCTATCTTTGCATTTTGTTTATGTTTTGATCACCTGTTATTAATGGACTTAACGAAAATGGCAATGTGACATGATATAATAATAGTATTAGTCCTAAAATCTATACATTATACAATTGATTATAATTCATAACCCATTTATGGTCAAGCTCAAGCTTTCGAGTAAACGCACCATTTAATTCGAACTATTTCTTGGCTTTTGAGTTGCCTTGACCCTTCTCTATAATTATCGGTTACCCCTTTGTCGATGCCTTTCAGTATCCTTTAAAACTTAGCTTTGATCTTCTTCAGCTTCGTAACAATCTCTTTCATATCAATCCTCTCATCTGGTAATTCTACTGAACATTCTAAGCCAATTTGCAAAATAGATAAGGCACACTCATCGGCAGCTGAACGTTCCCTCCAAATAGTATGCTCAGCAAATTGGCGTCTACAACTTGATTAGCGGTGATGATATCGACTCTTTTACCCAACTCTTCAAGCTTCTTTCTCCTGTAAAACATTTCATCCGTGGGCTTTTTTCTTGTGATGGTTTCCATCAGAAGAATACCAAAACTGTACACATCTCCTTTGTCGAAAACGATTCCTTCTGTTCCATACTCTGCATGAATTTGCAATATAATCTATAGTCAAGATATCTTGATAATGAAAAAGGAATGCTACAAAATATCTAAATTGTTATAGGCATGAAGGCTGTCTTGGAGAATAATTAGAAGTATCACCTGGTGCCATATACCCAACGGTTGCCATGGTTATGGTTGTATCATTGAATCCTCATTACATAAGAGTTTTGCAATGCCGAAATCACTCAAATGTGCAACCATATTCATCTAATAACATTGCTGGGTTTTATATCGCAATGAACGAGGGTGTTGCATTACCATGATGGAGATATTCCAAAGCGGACGCAACGTCTATTATTATGTTCAGTCTTTGTAGGATATCCGAAAAATGGTTGTTGGAGTACAACCATTATCCCAGACTCCCATTAGGCTGAACTCAAGCACTAAGGCTTTGAAATCAAGACATTAGAGCAACTGCTAATGATTTTGATCAAATTCCGGTGACGAGTGCTGCGAAGAACTTCACATTCAACATCAAAGCTCTTAAAACCTCCTTCTAACTCTAACTTGAAGACCTTTACTGCAAATATTAACCCGTCTGAGAGAGTCCCTTGGTACACGAACCATAACTCCCATTGCCAAGTAAATGTTATCACTGAATCCATCAGTAGCTAGATGAAGTTCAAGGTACGAAATTCGTTTCCACGTTCCTAAAGGTAACAAGTCTGCCCGAGTTACCAATTTCGCTTTCTCTTCCTACATCGCAAGACAACAATAATTATAGAGACCACCAAAATTGAAGAGGCAATTGGTAGTGCTATATATTACGAGCGTAGTATTGCCTTGGAATTCCCAAGAGGTTTAGTTTTGCAGGTTGGAACATGAAGTCGAGGTGCACCACAATGCTTCGTTCCCCTCAAATGATTCAAATGTAGTTTGAAATGGTCCTCCTTCAGGAATTTCTCCTTGAAGTCTATTGAAAGAGATATTGAAATATTTGAGATAATGGAGTTTCTCTAAGGACTTAGGAATCCCTCCGGATAGATTATTTCTCGACAAGTCAAAGAACTCCAAAACTCAACAAGTCACCAACTGACTCAGGAATAGAACCTGTGATCTATTTGGATAAGGAAAATAAGTGAGGTCATTGAGATCTGCAACCCCAGTTGGGATATCACTCGAGAAACTGATTGTCGACAAATCCATGCTAGTCAAAACTTCCACTTTCCAATATCAATCGGCAGGGGACCACTTAAAGAATTTGAAGACAACGTTCAGGATAAGCAGATCAGTAAGCCCTGTCAAGGTTGAAGGTATTGAGGAAGAAAACATATTGGAGTCAAGAAATAGGTTCCTCAAAGAAACGAGATTGCCCAAGCAAGGAGGTATTAGACCATATAATTCGTTATCGTCAAGAACAAGAAAGCCAACTTGTCTAGAAGACATAACTCATTGGGATGGATCCTTCTAACTTATTTTGCATAAGTGATAGACGTTGCAACTCTTTTAATCCTCCAATTGTAGTAGGAATGAGTCCTGTCAGTTTATTATTGTCTAGCTCGATGTTTATCAAGCTGCTTAAGTTACCTATTCACTTGGAACACTACCCCAGATGTTGCACCCAGATGCATAGAAGTTCTGAAGAGACTCGAGAGATTCCATACAAACCTGGAAGTTCACCACTGACCAATGGGTTGTAGCGGAAATCCAACATTTCCAAGCCTCTACAGTTTGGCAAAGAAGAGAGAAAACTCATCCCTGAGGAAGTTAAATTATTATACTCCAAGTTTAGGACTTCAAATTTCTGAGATTGCCAAGATTTCAGGAATGGACCCGAAATGTAATTACTTGACAATCAAGAATGGCGAGCTGAGAGGCATTGGAAATAGACATCGGGAATGGACCAACAAAGTGATTTCCTCCAAGGTATAACACTTCCAGGTTTGGAAGCCAAAGGCCCATGGTTGATGGAAGATGGCCAGACAGCTGATTCGAAGATAAAGAAATGACCGATAAAGTTGAAATATTAAATATGGCCGGGAGGAACAGGACCGGCAATATTGTTAGCTGCCAAATTCAGCAATCCGAGATTCTTTAGGTTGCCAATCTCACGTGGTATTGTACCTACCATACATTTTATCAAACAAATAGTATACAATCTCACGTGGTATTGTACCTACCATACATTTTATCAAACAAATATAGTATCAGACAAGAGTTTAAATATGAATTCAAAATAAAATTGTGAAGACTATCTGTTTTGGAATTTCACCTGTGAGATTGTTAGAGGTGACATCAAACTGCTCGAGAAGAGTTAGATTCACAACCTGTTCAGGAATTTCACCTGCAATTATAGAATCAATTCAAAATCCATCAAAGAGCATTAACAAGATTTTCCTTGCATCATGTTAAAAGCTTTCAGAAATGGTTAGTTTACATTACCTTCCAAGTGGTTCACACCTATATAAAATATTGAAGCATACTCAAATTCCCAATTTCTACCGGTAGACTCCCTTCCAACTGGTTAAATGATAACGATAAAAACCGTAATTCTTTGCACTTGAATAAACTGGCTGGAATTCTTCCGGAAAGCATATTACCACTCAAGAACAGTGTTTTTAAATTCGGAAGAAGATCAAACATATCCTTTGGAATACGACCGGTGAGATTATTGGCGGTAAAATCGATGAGTTCTAGCGAAAGCAAAGTGCGTGAAACAGGGGATATGGAACCGGAGCATATTATTACTTAGATCCATTATTTTCAGCGAAGATATATTGAAGATGGAGGAGGGTATTGAACCTGAAATCTGGTTTCTAAACAAGCGCAAAATCTCTAGCTTGGGTAGAAAGCCTAAAGAGAATGGAACAACACCCTTGAAGTTGTTACGGTAAAGATACAACTCACGAAGCTCAGTTAATGATCCTAACCATGATGGGATTTCTCCATTGAAGCTGTTGTTACCGAAGTTTAAATATTTCGTTGCAGATTGGTTAATTGGATGGGTAATTTGCCATGGAAACCATTACTTTCTATCGACAGAAGAGAGAGGAATGATAAATTTCCCAAGTGGGGTGGAAGGGTGCCTACAAGTCCTAAACCAGTAAGGTTTAGAGCTGTGATTCTGTGGTGCTTGGATCCATTTGACACCAAACCAGTTGCAAACAGGGGCAGAAGTTGACCAATTAGTTGCCAAGACATTTTCAGGGTCGTGAACGACATGGTGTTTTAGTGCTAGAAGAGCCGATTGGTCTGTAAGTATGGTGGTTAATTCCATGGAGAAAGTAGGGATAGGCAAATGAAAGATGATGGTGAGAAGAGCCAAGTAGAAGAAAGTGTTGGCCATTTGATTTTGGACCTTGATAAGCCACCAAGAACCAACAGAGGCACAATTGAGATAATAAGATACATACTCTATTCTTTATATACCTTGCATGACTCATGCATTGCAGCTTAGTCTTTGCTAATTTGAATGCCTTTGTAGCAGTATTTAAACAATGACAATAAAATTAAAATAAACCTTGAAATTTCTCGGAATATGCAGTGAGGTTGAAAGATTTTATTTTTAAACTTTTCGGGGTCTTTTCCCTTGGACCTTATAGTACCTCTCAACATCACACCACAACAAAAATAAGAATGTTTATTATAAATACTGTAGTTTATTTATAAAATAGATATAATAATAATGTTACAAATAATGACAAATAAATCAATGGGATGGTACAAGTAATAAACAGTTTAATATCATTTAAGCATGTATCGAGTTCGAGTTCATGTATATATAAAAAATCCTCGTTGAGAGACTTGTCTACCAAAATTAAGTGTGCGAAGCGAGTTGATTCGTATTAATCAGGACAAAACCCTGATGTCGGGAGGGTAACAAAAAAACAATGACAAGTAAAGATACTAAAATAAAAGGAGAAAAATTAAAACATACATATTATGTGAAAAATCTTTACACTAAACACTAGGGGTGTTAAAAAAAACTCAGAACTATTAACTGGTATATCGTTACATTTAACAGGTTAATTAATGAAACTAGTAATATTAAACAGTTTCGGTTAATCGAACCGCTAAAATTGATGGTTAACGGTTAATGTTACGATTATGAAAATTGATAAACGGGGTTATATAACCCGTCCAAAACGACGCCGTTTAACCTCGGGATAAACCCGTTTTGGTGGTAAGGGTAAATTATAGTTTAGGTCCTTCCATTTTCGTACTCTTGTGATTAAATCCTGAAGTGTATGGGTTAATTATGTTTTCATTCCTTTTGAAAATGGTTATGACAACCCTATATTATTTAGTGATTTTTCACATAAAATATGTGTCTTTTTTATCTTATTGTTATTTTCTCAAATTATCAGTTGTGATTTTGCTCTATCTGATGACCGTATTCCGTAACAATTGGTATCAAAGCCTGATTTGAGTGTGTAATATCTACTTATTGTCTTTGTGGTTGCCACCAAAAGGTGGATCCTTCAACATAAGAAAGTAAGAAGGTATTACTCATTCTTCAAAGGTTCCAAGTAACTATTCACGATTGTAAAATAGTATGAGCTATCCGTGATAGAAGCTATGGCAATGAAATTTGATATTGAAAAATTCAATGGGAGAAATTCTCATTGTGGAAACTAAAGATGAAGTTTATCATGAGGAATCTGGCGACTATCAGTGAAAGGTCGATAGATTTCACAGTTGACAACAAATGGAATGAGATGGACATAAATGTTATGGTAAATCTTCATCTATCATTAGCAAATGAAGTATTGTCAAGCATAAAGGAGAAGAAGATAACCAAGGAGATTTGGGATCATCTCACCAAATTGTATGAGGCCACATCGTTGCACAATAAATTTTCCTTAAGAGGAAATTGCACACTCTTCAGATGTCAGAATCTACTTCGGTGATAGAGCACTTAAATATGTTGAATACTTTATTTTCTCATCTTACATCTTTAAGTTGTACAATAGTAGAACAAGAACGTGTTGAACTTCTACTCCAAAATCTACCTGATTTGTATGATCAACTCATCATCAACTTGACAAATAGAAATGTCACCAGTCTATTATATGATTTTGCAGTTGTTGTTCTACAAGAAGAAAATCAGCGCAAGAGTAATGAAGTTAGACAAGTGAATCCGCTACAAGAAGAGGAGTTGACAGTGATGAAAGGAAGATCAACAGAACGTGGCCAAAGCAGTCACAAACATGGTAGATCAAAGTCCATAAGTAAAAAAAATTAAAGTGCTACAACTGTGGAAAGAATGGTTACTTGAAGAATGATTGTTGGAGTTTAGCTAAAAACTCCAACCCACAAGGCATATCACAAACACTTTAGATGATGGAAATGCTCTATATTGTGAAGCGTCAACCAACATAGATGGTAGAAATAGATTTGCAGATATATGGCTCATTGATTCAGGAGCAACATATCACATAACCTTAAGAAGAGAATGGTTTTATCATTATGAACCTGTCTCGGGAGGATCTGTGTATAGTTGCAATGATCATGCCTTGGAGATTATTAACGTTAGAACCATCAAATTGAAGATGTATGATGGAACAATTAAAGTTGTTTGAGATGTGTAACACGTGAAATGCATGAAGAAAAATTTATCCTACGTATTGTAATAATGCAAGTAAGACTAAACACAGAAAGAAATCATGAAGGTTTTTCATGGAGCGCTTGTGGTGATAAAAGGTGAAAAGATAGCATCGGATTTATACATGTTGAAGGGAGAGACTTTGCTAGAAACAGAAGCCTTTGTTACCTCATGTAGTTCAAATTCTGCAATATTATGGAATCATAAACTTGGAAACATGTCAGAACAAGGAAGGAAAGTCCTTGTGGTGTAAAAGCTACTTCCAGGCTTAACAAAGGTATCACTTTCTTGTGTGAGCATTGTATAACAAGTAATAAGCATCAGTTAAATTCAACATATCAAATTCTAGACGCAAGAGTGTTTTAGAATTGGTTCATTCTGATGTATGACAAATACTAGTTACATCCCTAGGAGGAGTAAAGTACTTTGTCTTATTTTTGATGACTACTCTAAGGGATGTTTTGTGTACCCTATTAACAAGAAGTCGGATGTCTTTTCAACTTTCAAAGCCTTCAAAGCATGGTGGAACTCAATTCTGGAAATAAGATCAAGTGTTTCATAATATGCAATAGAGAGAATACACAAGTGAAGAATTTGATGACTTTTGCAAGAAAGAAAGCATCAAAAGAATACTCAATTCTGGAAATAAGAACACTCCTCAATAAAATGGAGTGGCAGAGTAAATGAATAGAACCTTGTAGAAAGAACAAGAGCAATATTGAGGGTTGCAAGCCTAGAAAAATCATTTTGGGAAGAAACAGTCAATACCACCTGTTATTTGGTGAATCAGGCTCCATCAGTTGCAATAAAGCTAAAGACACCAATAGAGATGTGGATGGTAAATTGGTTGATTATTCAAACCTCCATGTATTTAGAAGTATTGTGTACATGATGTATAATGACCAAGAAATTTCAAAGTTGGATCCAAATTCCAAAAAATGTAAATTCTTGGGGTATGCTGATGGAGTAAAGGGGTATCGCTTGTGGGATCCCATTACTCGCAAAGTGATTATCAGTAGAGATGTTATCTTTGTAGAATATAAGCTACAAAGAAATGAATAATAGATAGCACTGAAAAGTCAAAGACTATATAGATACATATGGAAAAGGAGTTTGAACAAGGAGATTTTTCTGAAGCAGAACCAGCTCGTGATGAACAAGAACCAGAGAATTCTAGTTCTGAAGCTCCAACAACTCGTCAATCAATCATGTGAAAACGTCCCAATTGGCACTCAAATTATGTTATATAAGGTAATATTGCATACTGTCTTTTAACATATTACGGTGAGTCATCAACATTCTAGGAGGCAATAAACAACTTAGATATTTCACAGTGGATGACGGCGATGTAAGAAAAAATTGAAGCCCTTCATTAAAATAATACATGGGATCTTGTGCCACTACCACAAGGAATGAAGTCAATTGGTAAGTAGGTCTTCAAAATCAAGAGAAATATCAAGTGGATAGGTATCGTTCAAGATTGGTGGTAAAATGATATGCTAAAAAATATGATTTTAGTAAAATATTTTCTCATGTGGTTCGACTAACACGGTTCAGATAGTCTTGGCAATATGTGCTACATTGAACTTACATCTAGAGCAGGTAGATGTTAAAACAACTTTTCTTCATGGAAATCTCAAAGAAGAGATTTACTTGCTCCAGCCTGAAGGTTTTGAAGAAAAAGAAAAGAAGAACTTGGTTTGTAGGTTGAAAAAATTTATGTACGGTCTAAAGTAGGCATCGAGGTGTTGGTATAAGAGATTTGATTCCTTCATTATGTGCCTTAGATAAACTGACTTAATGAAGACCCTTGTACTTATTTCAAGAGGTTTGGTGATATGATTTTGTTATATTGTTGTTGTATGTGGATGACATGTTGGTACAGGCCCCAACAAAGATCATATTGAAGAATTGAAGGCACAACTGGATAGGGAATTTGAAATGAAGGACTTGGGACCAACAAAAAAGATTATAGTGATGCAAATTCATCGAGATAGAAGTAATATAAAGATTTGGCTTTCACAAAAGAATTACTTGGAGAAGATTTTGTCATAATTCAACATGTAAGATTGTAAAACAATTTCTACCCTTATTCCTATTAATTTTAAATTATCCTCCAGTATGAATCCTAGCAGTGAGAAGAGAGGATGAGGATGTTTCGAGTACCATATGCATTAGTAGTGAGAGAGTTTAAGGTTCGTTGATATACATAAACCAATCATTGCACAAGCATGGGAGTGGTTAGTCGATACATGACGAATCCAGACAAAGAGCATTGGAATACAGAGGATTCTGAGATACGTCAAAGAGACCTCAAATGTTGCATTATGTTACTGAGGATCAAACTATAACTGAGGAAAATATGTAGCAGCTACACAAGCCAGTAAAGAAGCAATTTGGTGAAAATGCTATTGGAGGAGCTCGGGCACAATCAAGAGTATGTTTATTTGTTTTGTGACAGTTAGCGCCTTGCACCTTGCAAGGAATCTAGCATTTCATTCAAACAACGTGAAAGGTGGAAGAATGGACGGTAGATATGTAGAAAATCCATACCAAAAGACAACATAGCAGATTTCATGACAAATGCAGTCAATGCTGATAAATTTACTTGGTGTCGATCCTCTTGTGTCATGTTATATAGAAGTAGTAACATAAATGGTAATAGATAAAAAGATGTGTGGAATATATGATTGTTTTAATCAAATCTTCAAGTGGGACATTGTTGAAAGTAAAAAACTTTG